AGCAAGTTTCATTACGCAAGGCCCAAGCCTACTCCTCGTCTGGATATTTCTGCAACCTATGCTCCTGCGTCGCAGCATGCGTTCCAGGAACTACTTGCTTCCAGCTTTGACTCTTCACCTCCTCATGCGGATATCACGGCTGCCTGGCAGCACTTCCACTCTGTTACCACAAAGGCTGCATTTTCCATCTTTAGAAAGTGATCCAGATCACAGCCTGACTAGTTCAAAACCCATGCCAGCCTGCTCCTACCTGCAATTGACTCTAAGCGTTCAGCCAGACTGTCCTATCTGCAGCATAACACTCGCTCAAATAGGGCAGCATTGAAGCAGGCATGCCGCAATGTCCAAAGGGTCACTCGCACAGCCATGCAGGCTTACTGGAGCACACTGTGTGACCGTATTGAGTTAAGTGCGTCCACTGGAAACATCCGAGGTGTCTTTGAAGGTCTGAAAGAATCCTTGGGCACAGTCCCTAAAAAATCCTCTCCACTCCGTTCCCTATCAGGCGAACTTCTGACCGATATGGAATCTCAATTGGCGAGATGGGCAGAGCACTACAGCCTTCTCTATGCTCAGCCTGTCACAGCCAACACACTGGCAATAACTGCTGCTATTCCTGAGCTCTCCCCTATGTCTGATCTGGATGCAGGCATTACCATCGAGGAAGTCAAATCTGCAATTAAGGCACTGAAAAATAACAAGTCTCCTGGAGCTGATGGCCTCCCCCCTGAGGCTTATAAGGCAGGCGGTGATGTTCTTGCCTCTGTCCTACATCATCTGGTTGTGATGTGCTGGAACAGTGGATATCTCCCAGATGTCCTTAGAGATGCCAACATCATCACCATCTATAAAAACAAGGGGGGCCGTGCAGACTGTAACAACTTCAGAGGAATATCTCTGCTCAGTCTTGCTGGCAAGATATTTGCTCGCACTATTCTACCACGTCTACAAATCCTTGCTGACCGTATCCTCCCTGAAAGCCAGTGTGGGTTTCGTGCTGGCCGCTCCATAGCAGACATGGTTTTCTGTGTCCGTCAACTACAGGAAAAGTGTATAGAACAGCATAAACCTCTGTTCTTGGTGTTTGTAGACTTGACCAAGGCCTTTGACTACGTTAGTCGATCTGGACTTTTCCTCATTTTACAAAGACTTGGCTGCCCTCCAAAGTTACTGAAGGTGATCACTGAGTTTCATGAGGGCATGAAGGCAACTGTACAGTCTGAAGGCACTCGCTCTGGCGAGTTCCAGATAAGGTGTGGGGTAAAGCAGGGATGTGTCCTTGCTCCTACCCTCTTCGGAATATTCTTCTCTGCCCTACTACGCCGTGCCTTCCCTGATGACTCGGGTATCCTTCTACATACCCGCAGCTCAGGAAAACTGTTCAATCTGGCCAGACTGCGGGCGAAGACTAAAGTACGCCATGTTCTGGTACGTGAGCTGCTTTATGCTGATGATGCTGCCTTTGTTGTCCACTCAGAGGCAGATCTACAACTACTCTGCTCATCTTTTGCCGCTGCATGTCTAGAGTTTGGTTTGCAGATTAGTCTTAAAAAGACAGTTATTCTTGCCCAACCTGCAACCCTAAACCCTACAGTATACATTAACAATACATGTCTATCTGTGGTAGACAAATTCACCTACCTGGGTTCCACCGTATCAAACAACAATAACCTTGACGCAGAGCTTGACATGGGCATTTGGGAAGGCATCATCAATGTTTGGAAAATTGAGCAAGCGTGTCTGGCACAACAAGAAACTCTCATTGCTCCTCAAAGTCCGTGTGTACCATGCATGTGTATTGAGAACCTTACTATGTGCAAGTGAGACATGGACAACATACAGGAGGCACGAACATCGCCTCAACGCCTTCCATTTTTCGCTGCCTTCGTTCCATACTGGGTGTATGCTGGAAGGATCATGTGCCAAACTCTGTCATACTTGAGAGAACTGGTTCCAGTGACCTGTACACCATCCTTCGTGAACGCCACCTCCGTTGGACTGGGCATATATATCGAATGACATTCGCCTTCCAAAAATCTTGCTTTATGGCGAGCTGGCAAATGCCCCCCGCAAACATGGTCGCCCCCATCTACGTTTTAAAGACATCATTAAGAGGGATCTTCAGGCTTTCTCCATCAACCTGGACAACTGGGAGGCAGAATGACAGAACCCAATGGCGCACAGCAATTAACAACGGCCGCAGGGACTCTCAGGAGGCCTACAAGTCATTTCTGGAAGAGAGACGCTCAAAACGGGAAGCAGTTTGTCATACTCGACATGAACGGCCATAGGATATATATATATTAAAAAAGGGGCCCTTTTTTTCCCCCCACACATTTTGATGGCTTAGAGGCACTATGTAGGTTTTTTTCACCGCAAGAGGGCGCAGTTTCCAACAATAACAAAGGCGTAGTTTTATGACGCAGTGATGAGCTGAATGATAGGACTTGCTGTCAAGCTGATGGATTTAATAATGTTTATGGATGAGTGTAAACATTCATGTTTTTTTACATTACAGTGGTATGAAGCAGGTCGCGGTTGCTAAAGAGACAGATATCACACGCGAGTCCCGCGGATATAAATAAGGACATTTAATTCTACCGAACTACTCGCAAGTGCTGGATTACTCACACATGTCAGTTTATTAGACGAATTAAACTTGTGAGGTAAACGCAGCGCTGCTTCACTTGGTCTAACGTTACACTATCACACTAAATGGCATTTAAATGTGTGTTGAAAGTTATAATGTTATACTAACTTACGTGTTAGTTCGTTTGCTATACGAAACTAGCAGTAAGCTTGATCAACATTAGAATAACATACTGACCATATTCTATTTCTAACATTTCATCATGTTGAGCTAACATTATATAACATTGATTTGTTTTATGTGCATTTGCTCACCTGTCTAATAAAGCTGTCAAGTCGTGACTCGTGAAGCTCTGTCAAGTAGGGCTGGGTATCGTAACAAAATGTTCGGTGCCGATACCGATACCGATACCTTGACTTCGATACCGGTTCCTGAACGATACTTTTTTCGATACCAATTTTATGTAACCAGGTTTAACAATATAACATTACCTAATTTTTTTTTCAGTTTGTTGACTTTTTTACACTCATATTTTGAGTATGTAAAAAAGCACCAATGCTAAAGTTTTCTATGTTTCCTAATCATTTAACAACATGTATTCTTTACTTCAATGAGCTCATTGTTTCTGCTTTAACTTAATGCATTAATTAACGATGAAACTGAATGAAAATTAATTGAAATGCATTACACTGTCACCTCTGATAACAGATCACTCTAAATTGTAATTTAGACATGCATTTTCTGTAAAGCTGCTTTGAAACGATATGTATTGTGAAAAATGCTATACAAATAAATGTGAATTAAATTAAATATAGGCTACTGGGGGGCGGGATATATACCTGCACGTGAAGCTTGCAGCAAAGCACTGGCAAAAGTAGCCTAATGATTATGGATGTGGAAACAATAGCAAGGAGATATTTTAATTGTTTATTAATGAACAAGTGTTTACTAATGGTGTGTTCACACCGAATGCAGTTTAATTAATTGTGCGAGTAGATTACATACATAGTCAATGCAAAGACGCGAATAGACGCATCATTCGCGCCGGGCGTCGCGAATGACGCGAATTGGGCGACGCGTTTGCCGCGAACGTCTTCCGCGCAAGTTGAAAAATTTGAACTCGAGCTAAAGATTCAAGCGTCGAACTAGACGCGATAGACGCGTATTTGACGCTCTATTCGCGTTCGATGTGAACACCATTACTCTCAAGTGTATTTTGTTCGCTTCAGTGCCTAGATTTACCGTGTTGCCGGTCTTGGCAGCAATGATCTTGTCGAAAATATTGCATCGCGTGCATCTGGCATCAAGTCTGGCACATGACATAGGTACACTTTGGATCATTTCCACATATTTTCTATCTATCTGGGTTGGGACGCACGCTTACACACACACACACACACACACTGCAGCCTCACGTGCGACGAGCCGCGTCTCTGGGCAGCCGCGTAAACTAGTGTTTTTCCGCCACAGCCAATTATGCTGCATGCTTATTGTTTCACTGACGTTGACGAGATTAACCACTTAGGTACCGAAATGTGGTACCGAAAAACAAGACATGTTTCGATACTCGGTAGTATCGAGGCAATTCGGTCGGTACCTAAAAAGTACCGAACTCGGTACCCAGCCCTACTGTCAAGTCCAAGTTAGTCGCGGACGTGGAGCTCTCGGCATCTCAAAAACGCCACGCTGATATTGATCCTCATTTTAGTTCTCCTTGTTTGTCCCAAAGTCTGCTTGCCATGGTCTATGTTTGAAAGAAACAAGAACTGCGTGCCGCTAAACGTTACGCACTACGCAGTTGTCCACGTCTGTCGCCATGGTTACGTCATGGCTATGGCAGTATGAACGGAAACCGAGGATAGCGCGGATATTGCGTCATTGACAGGCGACATTTTTTTACGGGACGGCCACTTATTTAAAATGGGAATTTCTCTGAAAAAAAAAATCTTTGGAGACTTTTGGGATATTAGTACACAACTGCAGGAAATATATCACACTGTGCAAGTGATTTTTGGATATTTTATTACAAAATTCTTACATATTGTACCTTTTTAATCAAACTTGTAGGGTCATTAAAACAAATATCCCCTCCAGACATTACTTTTGTCCACTTCTGTATATATATATATATATACATCACAGCAGAAGAGACTGTGAAAACTTGTCTCTTGCTGTACTTTTGTGAAAAGGAACACATACACCTTCAGTCACTCAAAGATGAAACTGATATTTTTCTCTCTACTGATCAATTCAAGCAATGCCAACAAATACTTGCCCAGGTCAGACCACCTGAACTAATCCTTGTGTGTGAACAGACTGTGTTTACTCTTGCTGTTTCAGGCTCTGATGTTCCATGCAACCATTATTACAGCAGCAGCAGCAAAACATGTCTGTTCTTCTTTCTCCTCAGATATGGATTTCCTTGCCACATCCTCCTTGTTTCTGTGATTTGCTCTGCCAGTTTGTCAGGATGGGCTAAAAACAATTGCTAGCAGCTGAGCACCATACACCTGGACCCTCCACCGTCTCACCTGTGCACAGGTAAACATGTACACACTTTGGCCCAAAGTAATTTCTCTTGAGAAACAATAATTTTGGTTGTATCAATTGTACAATCAATTGATTTCATCGTGGTTTTTCACTTGTCCACTGCTGATACTTTGAGAGCAAGGTGACTGATGTTGATATTTATATCATTGAATACAGTTGAATAACCATAAATGACAAGTACTGTATATTGACATTTTAAGTTTTCTTGTATACAATATTTAATCATAATTCATTTAAAATGAGAAACAGGTATTTTAAATGCTTCATGTTTTTATTCAGAAATATGAAACCAAGGAAATTGGCATTGTGCATTTAAGTCGAAACATACAGATAATGTTGTTTTTTCGTTGAAAATAAATGGCTCTCTGTCACTGACAGGGACATATGTAGTCTTTAAATCGTCACTGATCCCAGAGGCCAGCTGGCCCATGAGGCCACTCTAAATTTAGTCCTTTATCCCATACGTGTAAAACTAGACTACCCCTGCACTCGGATACAGTTCTCTTCCATAGGTGATACTGGGCCTTTTACTAGTATCCCTTAGAGAGTTACGGTGTGGGGTGTACAAAGAATAAGAGAAGACTGAAAGGAAAATGGGCTAAGGTAGAGCAGGAAGAGAGAAAGAGAATGGGAATGTAAGCTAAACTGAAGAATGTGAAGTTGAATAAATGAGAGAAGCCATGTGCAACAGAGCAAAGGGGTTGCTGGGAGACAAAAGCAACGAAACAAGAGAGAGAGTGAGGAGATGGTGATAGAGAAGCAACAGGTGGATGGGAAAGGGGCATGTACAGAATAAATGGAGGAAGTATTGATAATTAACCTTTAGGAAGTGTGAATTGTCACTTTAATGACATTTAAAACTCTTAAAGATTTTTTTTATGTCTAAAGACAGTTACTCCAAGGCATCCCAAATAAAGTGTTCTTTTTAAACTAGTGCGTTAACTCTCATATAGCGTTAAACATAAAGAGGTTCACTTAATTTAATTTTAGCTTGAAGGTCTAAAATTTAACACAGCCTAGCTTGAAATAGGGTCATGTCCTTAAAGTAACTGATGTCTTTTTTTCTACTAATAGTTTGTCTTCTCGACTTACAGGGTCTTATGAAGTCATCTACGGTTGACATTTAGACTTATTAGCATGCAGTACTCAAGAATTCAGTTGCAAACATTCTCACACACACATGCAAACAAACTCTGAAGTCATCTAACAGAATTAACTGTGCTTATTTGCGTCACTTTTCTGTGGCATGTGGTTAAGTTGAAACTGTTCTGGTGAAAGAGAGTCTATCCTAGGAAATGAAAACTGTAAGAGGTTGACCCAGATATCATCTTGTGAGGTGCCTTTAGTTAATTGTACATTTAAGAGTGCATGGCAGGGTTTTCTGGATGCAGCGCAACTACGATGTCTGATTCACAAACAAATGACTCTCTTATACTGGTCCGTTAAAAAGATTCACGAAACGGTGTCTAAATTCATTGAGAGTTAGTGGTTTGAATTGGACTCTTACCTGTGGTTGAGTTCACAACAGACTCCCTCACTAATTATTTTTCAGTTCTGTCATGACTCGGAGTGATTGGCATGGTAATGGGTATGACAGTGTTGTATGTTTGGTCTTGGCGGAATAAATCTGCTACGTTGCTTGTGTAGGTTATTGTTGCTGCTGCTGTGGCAGAGCAAGTACGGGACTCGCTTCTGCCAATACATACACAACACGCTGCTGTGAGCAAGTAAGACATGCTGCTGCTGTACAATATAGCGTACATGAATTACCCGTAGCAGATCTATACAGGTGGATCTGGGGAAGGTGGAGGGTTTCTGAAAGCGTGCAGCACGGCTAAGGCAAATGTATTTGAAGGTTGAGCAGCGAGCTCATTGGCTACTGATACGGCAGGAACCAATCAGCTGCACCCTATAGATAACGATGTGGTTATGAACAGGTGAGTAAAAGGACCTATTAGCCTGCACCATCGTGGGTGCTTCTCAATTCTTATTTGTGCATCCTCGTTTCCTTTCCTCGCGTCTCAGCTCCACCCCCTGTAGGATGCGAGGGAAGGCCGCAAGGAAAGAAAAGGAGGACGGAGGAATCGAATGAAAGCTTTTTTTATACATTGGAATACTTGATCACTCGAGCGTCACTTCACAGCGTCATCAGCAGCGCTCAAAGGATCTGCCCTTATGTTGTTGAAGTTTGGTTATTTAAGAAATTAGTAATACATAATAATAATAATAAAGCAAGATACCCTGTTGAAATATGTGAGATGTGTGGTTTATATAAACTGCAAAGGTAAAGTATAAATTCAAATTATTGTGACCGACGTGAAGGGGGAGAATTTATACGTGCTTCACATTTAGTCGATAAAACACTTCCGCAAAGGATACATCCTTGTATCCTTACTCATAACTCCTCATGAAGCCTCCTCACTCCTCGATCCTCGCCTCCTCGCGGTGCAATTAGAGAACTGAGAATGAGATGTGGATGGAGGACAGAGGAGAGAGGAGACGAGGAGGGATATTGAGAAGCACCCCTAGAGTTTCATGCCAGAACTTTGTATTTATGTCTGATTCTAAATGAACCGGTTTACCATTGCTTGGGATTAATGATACATATTCAGAAGGTTGTTTTTTGTAATACATTTTTTTTTCAATTGTAAACAATTCAACAAAACATTCACATATTTCACAATAAATATTATTGGTCATTATATATTTTAAATCTAATGTATTCCTATGATGGCAAAGCGGAATTTTAATGCAGCAATTACTCCAGTCTTCAGTGTCACATGATCCTTCAGAAATCTTTTTTTCTGATTCTTTGATGAATAGAAAGAAATCTTTTGTAACAAACATCTCTACTGTCACTTTTGATCAATTATTATCAGAATGAATGTACCCTTGCTGAATAAAAGCAAAACAAAATGACTGAATCCAAACTTTTGAACGGTAGAATATATGGCACAAATACAGTCAGTATCACTACAATGACAGTATCAAATGGGAAGTAAACCATATTTATTGTTAAGTGTGTTAAGCGTGTTTAAAAAAAAAATTTATTAGGTCTGTAGCCCTGTGAGTAGTACTTAATTTTTTTGTCTCTGCTGTTCAGGTGGTGAGATTTGGCACCATGCAGGGACCTCGGAGGAAGGTGAAGGTCATGTTGATGATGACAATGGTGTTTATCTTCATAGTGGTGGAGGTCTCCCGTAATGCTGGGAAGGGCGACCGCAACAAAAATAAGAATCTGGTTCCCTTGAAGCGTTTTTGGGCAAAAGATCTTCCGAATAACGCCTACTGGAATCGCCAGCAGCAACAGCTGAACTACATCAACAACCCCAACCTAGAAAAACTCAACTTCACGATTGATAAACTTCCAGACTGGCTAAACGACACGGTCAGTCTTGATTCCTGTGACCCAGACTTCAGGGTGACCACCCAAGTCAAGGATTTCAACTCCTTACCGGATCGCTTCAAGGACTTCCTGCTTTATATGCGATGCAGGTCCTATCCCATCGTGGTGGACCAGCCAAACATATGCAAAGACCAACCGTTCCTCCTCCTAGCTATTAAATCTTTAGTCCCGCACTTTGATCGACGTCAAGCTATTCGCGAGTCGTGGGGCAAAGCTGGCCGCCTTGCAAACAGAACGGTCGTTACGGTGTTTCTTCTTGGAAACGCAGCCATGGAAGACTATTTCCCTGATCTCTCAAATATGCTCCACCATGAGAGCTCAATGCATAGAGATATTCTTCAGTGGGACTTTAGGGACACCTTCTTCAACCTCACTATCAAGGAGGTGCTTTTCCTGGAATGGCTGAGCACCCGCTGTCCTGGAGCCAGTTACATCTTCAAGGGGGATGATGATGTTTTTGTTAACACCATCCGCATTATAGACTTCCTAAGCAGTCTTTCTCATGCCAAAGCCAAAGAACTGTTTGTAGGGGATGTGATTACTAATGCTGGTCCACACAGAGACAAAAAGGTCAAGTATTTTATCCCGGAGAGCGTGTTCGTTGGAGCGTACCCTGCGTATGCAGGCGGGGGCGGTTATTTGTTCTCGGGACAGCTGACCCAGAAACTTCATAACGTCTCGAGGTCGGTGCCCCTCTACCCTATTGATGATGTCTACACAGGTATGTGCCTCAGGAAACTGGGTCTCGCGCCTGAGAAGCACAAAGGCTTCAGGACCTTTGATATCGAGGAGAAATATCGCAATAATGCCTGTGCCTATAACAGCCTGATGCTGGTCCATCCCAGAAGTCCTCAATATATGATCAAAATCTGGGCCTGGCTGAATGACCCAGCCTTGAACTGTCACTGAACTGCTGCTCTAGGGTTTGGCTGCTTTAAAGGGACAGTTCACCCTATGATTATAATTCTGTCATCATTTACTCACTTTCATGACGTTCCAAACCTGTAAGACTGACTTTCTTTCTTTGTATGGACCAAAAAACGGATTATTTTTCAGTGAAAGTCAATGGGATCCAAAAAACTTTCAGAATATCTTCTTTTGCGTTCTGCAGAATACAGTTTGGAACAACATGAGGGTGAGTAAATGATGACAGAATTGTCATTTGGTGAATTATCCCTTTAATGTTTTACCGTTGTTCTATTTTGATTTATTATTAACATCTTTTCATGTCAATGGTCTGGAGCTCTTTATATTTCAAATGTGCTATCAATTTCTAAAGTGGCTCTGAATTGCTACCTATACAGTATTTCAATGGCTTGACTTTGTGTCATATTCTGTTAATTATGTTACAAGTATTTATACACTGCCCTCTGGTTGTGAGGTCACAGGTGCTGAGGATTGTGGGAAATGTAGTTCAGCTGGTCTGGACATGAACACAGAATACACCGCTCACCCGAGCACAAATATCTTAGTCATTTTAAGAGTTTTTTTTTTTTTCTTCAATGGGAGAATTGTTGTATCATGTTAAAGTTAACTGACCTGTTCAAAGATCATAAGTTTTAACAAACATTTTTTAAAGTATCTATGTGGCCGTCACAAGAATAATCTCACTGTCCATACTTGCCGCTTTATTTCTCAGCAATGCGAATGAAGATATCGCCTTCCTGTTTTGCACACAAACAGCCTGAAAATTGAAACGTGTGCTTGTGTTTGTTTAGATTTATGAAGAGTTGGCTCATTTTAGAGCACTGGTTGTGGGGGACAACAGTTTCGGATCTCAACTGAATATTGGTTGTCTACCCAAACCTCCACATATGTGTTTTTAGACTTTAATGCACTGCTGTCTCTCTTCCTTCTAGATTGATTCTTATGCAGAAACAGACAATCAATTGCTAGTCTCAATCTTATTTTTGTATATAAAAATAAATTCAAGGCCTGGCCATTTCATCAAAGAAATGTGTAAAAGGTACAAAATCATTCACTCCTCTGCTGGAAAAAGCAGACTAAAAGCTTGTTTCCCTCTTTGATCTGATTCGAAGTCTTCTCAGGATGTGCTCAGAGTTTTGGTCAAAAAATCATGGTTGTAAATTAAGTAAAAAAAACAAGAATATGAAAGGCAATGGGTTTCATCTTACATTTGAAATCAAGGCACCTCACATTTTACCTCCTTGACTAAATGAATGAAACTTTGCAGCCAATTTTCCAGCCCCAGATTAAGCCTGTTGCTGTTGTTCATGCTGTTGTTGTATTTTCCCTCCCATAAAGAGGCCAGGAAATGGTCTCAGCTGGATGACTTAATTATGGTACTGAATTTGATACAGCAGCCCCCAACTATGTTACAGTGACACCTGCTGGTCTGCATATGTATCTTTTATGAACACTGGACATTTTCCACAACCTGTTTTCATCTTGATGGGATATTTAAATCATGCATGTGGCCTTCCAGTCAACTAGTAGTTCACTTATTTTCCTTTCTTTTTTTTTTCTTTCTTTTTTTAAGAGGCATAGGCCTAGTAATCATCACAGACTTAAAGCTGTGCTGACTTGTGTCTGGTCTATAAGTCTTATCTGTTAGTCTTCAGTCTGCCTCATTGGTTGTTTGCTGATGAGTTAAATCAATTTTGTGTCATATTTGTCTTGTTTAATATTAAGTTGACCACCCAGCTATGAGGAACGAGGGCCAGAAGGATATGTGTTTTGTCGTCTCTCTCTGCTGATAGCAAGGCAAGCACACCGTTGAACAGCCTGATCTTGTGTTTGGTGAGAAGACAAAAGTGTTTACATGTGTTTATGAACCGTACAGAAAGCTTGTATTTGCTATTTTATTGGTCACAGAGGTAGATTATACAAGTTTTATACACTGGTATTTACTGAACTCTTGTGAGTTCTCAAACTCCACAGGCTGTTGTTGTATGATTGATGGTTTTTTTTATCAGTGCATAACATTGCCGAATGAACTCTTGTTCTTGCCTTATGCTGTTTGTGTACCAGAAGATCTTTTGGCTTATTTTTTTTTGGTTCTTAATGATAATTTGGTCTTTATGTAAATAAGATATTTGGATGTTAAAATGAAAATGTGTTGGGTAAAATGTGGCTTTAGTTGTGTATGTATTTATGTGTATTTAATGTAGGTATGTATATACAGGCTCAGGAGTATGATCATGATAAAATCATTTGTCTTTTTTTTTAATCAATTCCGTTTGTAATTTTGGAATTGTTCATTTATTCAGTCATATGAAATTTCTGAAACTGTAATGGCTTTCAGGTATTTCACATCACCTTTTTAGGAACATTCAAACTACTTTTTTTTGCCATATATTTATATGCTGATTATTTTCTATTTTTATTTGTTTGTATATCACAACGCCTCTTACCAAAAACACATTGTCAACCATGCAAACATTGCTACCAAAATGTGCCTGTTAATAATTCTGATCAATTATGTGTCTGACAGTCTTTTGTAATTGAATATGCACATTTATGTTTTTGTCACGTCTCTGTCTACTTTTTTGATTTAACCTTTATAATAAATGGAATAAATGGATGTTTTGTACCGCTGTCATTCTGTCCATTCCTGAGTGCTTCTTGCAGAGTACTTTGTTACTTTTTTCCTGTGATCTTCTTAAAATTTGATAAAAGACATGCATATATATATATTTTTCTTCTTCGCTACTTTGTGATGATGGCATTGTGTGTGTGTTGCAGCATTTATTTATTTTAAACCAGCAGAGGGCATCTTGGTGCTTTGTGTGTCTTATAGCATCAGTGTGCCAGAGCTCTCCTGCAGTGATACATTTTTTGTCACTGTGCGGCACATTTTTTTAATGCTGAATGCCTCCCTCTCTTTGATTTACTAAGGTACTTTGTCATGATCGGTTCTGTGAAACTATCTTGTTCCAACGTGCAGTGTAATTTTTCCTCCAACACTGACATTTAATTATAGCAGAGCTCACAAATCATCTGCGGCTCTGCAAGAGGTCTAGAGCTCAACTAAACACCGAATTTTCATACCTAACTACACTAAATCTTATTCACACTTCTTGCTTTTGTCTGATTTGTGATTTGTGTCGTTTATTACCTGCTGAGATGTAAAATGCAGTTACATGCACTTTCTTGTTGGTCGCTTGGAAAGGAGGGTGTCTGTCAATATTTTAACTGGATAATCAAGAAATAACATGGAGTTGAATGCTTTTTCTAACATCAAGATTTTGTTCAAATTTATATTTTAAAACTTATGGAGTCCATCTTAGCTTCTGTTATTAAAGCAAAAAAGACAATTCAAGCATATTTTTTTCAATTCAGCCTTTTGCTTAAATTGATATGTTGATAATTGAAAAATACTATGCAATGCTGTTCAAAAGTTTGGGGTCATTATGATTTGTGTATGAATGTCTCTTACGCTCACCAAAGTTGTATTTACTGAAATATAGCAATATTGTGTAAAATAACTGTTTTCAATGCAAATATGTTTTGAAATGTAATTTATTCCTGTGATGGTCACATTTGGTGCTAAAAAAAACATCATTATCAATGTTGAAAACAGTTGTGCTGCTTAATATATTTTTGTTGATATTTTTGTGTAAACTGATTTGGTTGTCAGATTTTTTTTGATTAATAGAAAGTTTAAAGAACAGCATTTATTTGAACTAGAAATCTTCTGTAACAATGTAAAAGTATCTGCACTTTTAATCAATTTAATGTGTCCTTTCTAAATAAGTGTATTAATCTAATCTTAATCTAAATAATTCAAATCTTGCTAACCTCAAACTTTTGAACGATACTGTATTTTAATAATATATGTTTTATTTTATCAACATCAACTTGGATGAAAGCATGTTGTATAAAATAGACTGACGATGTGACAAATACATTTGTAAAAGTACAATTTTGCTGCATTTTAATGTTAAAGTTCTTACTGAAAAATGAAAGAGACATTTGAATTACCATATTTCTCAATTGTCTTAAAAACATCAGTTTGTGGGGTTGCATATTCAATTCAATTCAAATTTATTTGTATAGCGCTTTTCACAATACATATTGTTTCAAAGCAGCTTTACAGAAAGTGCATATCCTTGTGAAGGAATATTTTGGAGCGTGTATGTGTTTTGTAAATGAAAAATTGCAGTGCAACACCCTTTCTTGTCATCTTGTCCCTCAAGACATGGAGCGAGAGGATGGGTGAGGAGTTGCTATAGAGACTTTCTCTCAAGGGATGAAGAGATGCTTTTCTGTAGGATTAGAATGGAGTGGATGAGTGTGAATGTCTTAGTGAGAGATTTTTAATGGGTTCAGAAGAGACCAGATGATGGTCTAATCAGACGAGTGTTTGCGTGAAATGCTGTTCAACTTTGATCAGGACAGTGGAGTAACAAACAAACAGGAGTGTTTTTCTCATTGCCTCGAATGAGTGAAACTGTGTGTGCAATATAGGATATTGCGTTTGTGGAACTGAAAACAATAGCAGATGAAGAACGATGAGGTGTCTAAGCATGTATACAATTGTCACCTTTACTTTCCCTTTCCTCCAAACATGCAGAGCAAGCATTTGCGGCCATGTATGGATGTGAGAAAGCAGAAATGAGACACAAAAGAAACAGAAATCTAGTCGACAGAGAAGCATGTGCTGATTTCTGTTCAGCTTGGCTGTGGTGAATGCAGCTCTGCCAAGTCGCTCTCTTATAAGCAGCCAGAACCATCTCCTCGTGTTTTCCTTTTGCTCCCTGCTTCCAAATTGTCTTATTTTGAATTATGTCTCTATGAAGAGTCAGACAGTAGTGGACTATAAAAGAACAACCGGGTCAGTATGATTTATGACTATATGTGACCTGTTGCTCTGACAGGATTTGATGGAGAAGTCCTTTCATGCACACTTGTTTTTTTTCATGCACAAGTGTTTTCCAAAAGTGTCCACCCCCTTCCATTTTTATTGGCATGCTATGTGACAGCTAATGTCTTTGGCACTCATTGAGCACATCGGAATTTAGAACCGGTTTTTGTCTTCTGCTCGTGCGCGCAATGCAATAAATAGCAAATACGGAATTGTTCACCTATTCAGTCTCACAGGTGGAGGAATGCAGAATGTTGGACCTAGATCAGCTGGATCTAGAGCAGTTCTTATAGGCCATTCACACAGAACACTTTTTTTGCTTTTAAAATGTGAGATGCAGGGCAGGGGGGGGGGTGAAGAAACCCTGCAAGGTGAAAGGTTTTTTTTTTTTTTTGCTGTGTTTTTTAAATG